CCACTCCATCTATTACCCCACGGTTTGTCATAGCAGCCTGAATGGACAAAATCGTCACACTCCCACCTGAAACAGAAAGGAAGGCACCAGCCACGTTCTATATATGAAGCGGTAGGGGCACAGGCCACAGTGACGAACTGTAAGTGTCACTGCTGCAACCCCTGTTTCTGTAGCTGGTCCCGAGTCCTAAGTGGGAATGACATTTTCTCCTGTTACCGCCTGATCCATAGTCCATGTGGCCTTGGTTAATCAGGGTTCTTCAGTTGGCAGGGTGACCCAACCTTTCTTTCCTATAGGAAACGGTATTTCTGTCTTCATTGGGTTGCGACAGTTTGCCATTATAGTTTTACAGTGGGACATGGAAACATATCAAGGGGTCCTCAGTGAATCCCCCCACTATAAAGCAGCAGCCTATGTTCTTCTGGCTATTGGGACCTATGACCAGAGGCGATATAGTGACCCCTCAGTGTGCATATTGGCCTAGCAGCATGAGGGACTCAGAATAACTGGAGTGGGAGGCATTTCCACTTGCATTTCCCTGGGACTAGGACCATGTTACTTTGTAGAAAAAGCTTCCTTCGAGTATCAGCTTTAGTTTGGACAAGTGTCCCCCTACAAGTCCATTGAAGCATGGTTTTGAAGGGGAGCTGCCACGGGCCATTAAGAAGCAGCATGTAGTGAGAGGTGCTTGAATCACTGAGGGAGTAGAACAGTGTTGTTGAGTAGAACAGTGATAAGGACCACTTTTCTCACCACCAAGACCTGGTAATGCGGGCACTGGCATCATACATTGACTACTTGCTGGCTTAATGTATATCCATATCCTGGAGGTTACCACTTAACTCTTACAGACTCCCAAATGGCACTGTAACTCCACTTACGTAGGCCAATCTATTGCTCTACCAAGCCAGCTACTTCTCTGGTAAAAACCACTGGGTTCCATGACCTTACACCCTAACTGCTAACCATCCATGCTCAGTGAAGGATGTGTTACATCCATACTGCACAGCCCTTTTGTCAGGTTGTGAATGGTGCTGTTAACATCTGTGTTATGACCAGAGCAATCAAATCCATTCCCAGAACATGCATTATTCCTCCAAAAACAAGTCATCGACCCCTTAAAGGGAAAAAGTGTTCACGGGAATCAACCAGGTAACCACAACTGCCTCTCTTAGTTACTTTCTCGTTGCTGGGATGAAATGCTCAATGCTCAGTAGTTAAAAGAGAAAAGGGCTATTTTAGCTCACAGTTTGTAGAAGTTTCAGTCCATAGTTGGCTGGCTCCAAAGCAAGGAGAACAGGCAGAAGGGCATGGAAGAAGAAAAACAGTTTGTGATGTGGCAGCCAGGAAACAGTATGTCTTCCTTTTTCTGTTTTTTTTTTTTTTCTTTTTCTTCCATCCCTGCTATAAGCCTATTGGTTGGTGTTACCCACACCCAGGATTAATTTTCTCCCTGTTAGAAACTTCATCAACCACACCCAGAACTATGCTAAGCCAACTAGTGAGCTAAGCCAAAATCTAGTCTCATTTACCCAGGATCCACACACCTTCCCAAAGCCCCCTCATGACCTCATGGTCCCTCAGGGGGGACACCTAGCACCAGGGACTGGGGGAAATAGGTATGTGACACATATGGAGACCAATTCCATATGTAAACTTCAGATGAATTTAGTAACATGCAAAAAAGGCCTAATTCTGCAAATGGAAACCTCTTTTGCCTTGGTAAGTAGTTCAAACAGCAAGTGCACAGTGCATTTAATACTTCATTTAAAAGACATTCTGTTATCAATTAACCCGTGACACCTGACTTTTGGCCTGTTAATCCAAATTTAATCCTCACCTCAGAGTGAGTTTACCATGACCAAATCCACTAAAATCCCTTACTGAAACAAGTCACCAAGGAGGAAAACACAAGCTTTCCAGTTCAGGACACACTGGCTTCTGACTTCCCAGGCAGCTCCATTCTGGCCAAAGTTGCCTCCTGCTAAAATAAGGGCCTAACTGTGGCCCCTAACAGCGCTACACATCTAAGGATTTCCCATCTTCAAACCTCCACCATACATGATCTGGGTTATTTTTAGCCAAAGATATTTTGTGGATGAGCACAGAGTTCCAAGTGCAGTTCGAATTTCACTGGCTGCCCAAGTATGTAACTCCAGGCTGCCAAGATCTAAAAGGCTCCTTAAAAATATCTTACCAAAATCCTGTCTTAAAAATGAGCAAACTGAGATGCAGAAAAATGTATTCTCTTCTGATTCTCCTGTTTGCCTTTCAGTTCCACCATCCACCTAGAAGCTTCCCTGACTATTCACTGTCATTAACCCCAAATATTTACTGCGCTAGGTGCCGGCCCCTGTGATAGACACTTGAGATTCTCCAGCACAAAATGAATATCCAAATCCCTGCCCTCAAGTAGCTTTCATTCTAGCAGAGGACCAGGCAATAAACAGTAAGTGTCACAATTCAGTCATCCTGGAGGAGAACAGAAAAGGTCTGTGGTGATCAGGAGCATCTGAGAGCAGGGCAGGTAGGTTGAGTTTGTGATTTTTAAATAGTCCAGTAGGCTTCATGGAGAAGGGACGATTGACAAAAACGTCCAGGAGATAAGGAGGCCAGTTTGCTTTTGAGACAGGGTGTTGCTATGTAGTTAAGGCTGGCCTCAAACTCACAGCAATCCTCAGCCTCCCAAGAGCTGGGATCACAGGCATGTGCTACCACACCCAGCATCTATCACTTTCTCTCTCTCTCTCTCTCTCTCTCTCTCTCTCTCTCTCTCTCTTACTTTCTTTCGACTTTGTCTCAGAGTCTGTATTCCTTTCCTACTGTTGTGTGTGACACTGAGATACATATTTGGTCTCTGTCTAGTCTCCTGGCATACAGCTCCCCAACTCCTTGGCCTTTCTGTAGTGGTAAGAGTCTTTCCTATGCTGATGTGATCATGATGCCTCCTACGGAACTTCAGGGTGGGGTTGGTCACTAGAAAGATCAAGGCATAATTAGGTTGGGACCCCTGACTCACCCTTCAACCTCCAGTGAAAGGGGAGGGAGGTACTGAAAGGTTAAGTTGCTCACTTTGGCCAGTGATTTCATCAATCATACCCACATAAAAATCCAAAAAGTCTGGGTTCCAATGGGCTTCTGAATAGCTGAACACAGGGAGATGCTGAAAGATGCTGCACCGACAGGATGAACGCTCTGCATCTCTTTCCACATACCTTGTCCTACTCAGCTCTTCCAGCTGTTGTCCACCTGCATCTTTTGTAACATTCTTTATAATGAATGGGTAAAGTGAAATGTTCCCCTGAGCGCTGTGAGCTGCTCTAGAAAATTAGTCAAACTTGAAGTGAGGGTTGTGGGAACTCTTGATTTACAGCCAGTCAAAAAGCATAGCTCACATCAAGTGGAGGCGGGGACAGTCTTGTCACTCTGAGCCCTCAATGTGAGGAATCTGACACTATCCTTCAAGGAGACAGTGCATAATTAAACTGAATTAGAAGACACTCTGCAATGTCAGCTGAATTGGCTGGTGAGTGCTTCCTTCCCACACCTGATGTCACAAGCATTGTGAGTATATTGAGAGTGTATTGTGGGTGTGTTGTTTGTGACCTGAGCTGATCAGTATTGAGAATTACAGTGGAGAAACCAGTGTTTCCCTCATATGCAGAGGAAGCTCTGCATAACACATCACCACAAACTAGCAGCTTAAAACTCACTTTTATGATTTCACACTTTCCACATGCCAGGAGCGGAGGCACAATGTAGCAGGACCCCTCTTAGATCTTACAAGACTGCAAGCAAAACACAAGCTGAGAGCCCGGAGTGGTGGCACACACCTGCAGTCCCAGCACTCTGGAGGCTGAAGCATTTGCCCACCCAGGGAAATTCAGTGACTTAAACAGAACTCGTTTCAGATGAGATTGGGCGCATTCAGGGTGGTATGGCCATAGACTGGAACTCGTTTCAACAAAACAACTTTAAAAAGGGCTGGAGATGTAGTTCATTGTGAAGGCCATGGGTTCAAACCCCAGGACTGCAAAAAAAGAAAAAAAAAAAAAAGCCAGCTGTATTCTCACCTGGGGTATCTGATGGAGAAGAATCTGCTCCAAGGTCGTTGGGGTCGAAGGCAGCTTTTATTCCCTCATGGTTGCAGGACAGAGGGCTTCAGCTTTCAGGCAGCTACTGGTCAGAGGTATCCTGCCATTTCTGGGGGTCACCTGCAATTCTGTGCTCTGTGAACATCTTCAACATGTTCACTTAATTCATCAAGCTGCCAGAAAGTTCTTCGACCTAGTAAAAATTTTGCATAGCATGAAGTAACCACAGGCCTAACATCACACCATCTCTGCTTTATTCAGTTAGAAGCAAGCTCAAGGGCCCGCCAGCACTTCAGAGACTCAGGAGGTGGGAATTATCCCAGGTTCCAGTGGATTTCATCATTAGAAACCTGTTCCTTTTTTCTATCCCAACAATTCTGATCTGTATCAGTTCATGCCCAGCATGACCCCTAGACCTGTACTAGATTTTAATTTTTTAAAAAATTTAATGAATCCTCACTTAATTTTAAAATCGATTCTAAAGTCAGTTGTAAAAAATACCCACGTGTTAAGAACAACTCGACTATAAATCTACTTTTCAATTGCACATCCTATGAAATGTAGTATCGACGGGCTGTTAATTGTAAATTATATCATATTCCAAAGACTCATTATAAAAACAATAATTTTAAAAACAGGGAATAAAACAAATTACATGTTGAAATGACAATGTCCTGTATATATTGAGAAAAGCAAAATATATTATTAAAAATAACTTCATCTATTTCTATTGGTTTATATTTTTTAAAACCCAATTAACCAGAAAATTTTAAATTACACGTGGGGCTGAGCACATATAGAGTTTAAGGCTCTGAACTCAGAATTGGGTTGGCAAGACAGCAGTGTTAGCTAATCATGCATGACAATGTGATTAACGTTAAACATTAGGGAGGGGTAGAAACATGGACCCATCTAGACAGCGGGGAAGTCTTGGAGAACACACCCATGCATGGGAGGAGGCGGGGCTCAGTCTTTCAGTCCGCTTTGCAGCACCCCGGCTTGTAAACGCGCTGCGTCCTTTGACCCCGGCGCCACGCCGTAGGCCGCGCTGCACGCCCGGCGGCCGCGATGGCGGATGTGTCGGAGAGGACGCTGCAGGTGTCGGTGCTGCTGGCCTTCGCCTCCGGAGTGCTCGTGGGCTGGCAAGCGAGCCGGTTACGGAGGCGCTACCTGGACTGGAGGAAACGAAGACTGCAGGACAAGCTGGCCACGACGCAGAAGAAGCTGGACCTGGCCTGAGAGTCGGCGCCGTGGGTCCCGGCCTCGCGATGCTGGTGCGCAAGCCCCGTTCCCGGGCGGGTCTGAGCCGGGCTCGCCTCACCTCGCCCTCTCCCAGCCGGAGCGCGGGTGAGCGGTGCGCACCGGGGCCAAAGGGGAGGCTGGGATCGGGCGCTGTCTAGAAAGTGGAAATGGTTTTCTCTAATAACACGTTCTTCGGTATTAACTGTTTAGTTCACTGCGGTTGTTTAGTAAGAATGCTTTACGGTGGGCAGTATAGTTGCATCCTGACAACACTTAATTTCAAAGTCGAAAATACTGAAAAACACCAAATTAAAAAAAAAAAGGAATGACTCGTGAATGTGTTTCTGCCCCGATCGTTCATTTAGATGACATCTTTGGTAGTGATATAGGGGGATAAAACTCCCGATTTACCGTATGTCCGGTATGAGTTCTTGTTCTCTAAAATCGAAGAATGAATTTTAGGAACAAGGGTGGTTAACAGCAGAATGTATTTACTGAGAGAAACAAAGCTTTTGTCTGAGAGACAGACAGACAGAAGGGGTCCCAAGAGAGTTGCCAAGACTGTCTTTAAGGGACTTTTATAGAGTAAAATCATGAGGTGAGATGGGTCCATGGTGGAGAAAAATGAGGAAAACTGGGAACTCGCAAGGTGGGCATAAGGTGGAGCAGAACTGTGGTCAACCAGTAAGATTAATTGCTCAGGTAAAATTGATTATATCAGGAACACATGGGGGAGCGAGTCACATAGTAAGCTGGCATGCTTAACAGCAGTGACTCTTATTGTAGAGGGTGGGATGCTGACTCCTGATTTCCTCAGGGTGACCGAGAACTATTTGGATTGTGGATCCTTAGGATATGGGTGTATTTGCTCTTTGCCTTTTGTCTTGAGATCTGACCCATCGCAGGAGGTGATTGTCTCCTTCAAGGCTGCAAGGTCTCTGAACTAATGCACAGGCACCTTTGAGGGCCCAGCCCTGTCTTACTGCCTATAATATTTCTAACTAACTCAGCTGCCTGTAACAGTAGAAGGGTAGCACATCTTGGCATTGAGATTTTGTAAACTTCCGCCAAAATTCTTGGGTAGTTGTTGGCCCGGTAAATTGGAAGGAACTTTGGCCTGAATATCGAGGAACCTTGTGTCCAGGAATAGTTTTTTTCATCAGAGTTGTGCCCATAAATTTTCAGGGGCTCAGTTTTCTTGTCTGTGATACCAGTTCTTATAATCCACGACTTAATTCAATTATTTGAAGTTAAAGTTTATGTGTTACTAATTTTCTTTTCTTCTGTTTCCCACAGCTTGTTGATGATGGATGTAAAACACTGAAAGAAAGAATTTCTTACTGTACTATATGAAGTCTATTTTTAAAATAAAAAATTTTGAACATCTTTGGACCTTTTCCAAAGGGAAAGGAGTGTTGCTTATCATTCCTGCATTGGACAGTAGGATTCTGAAAGCTGGTGTTTGTGGTTTTGAGCAGCTATCTGTCATCTTTCCTGTGGAATCTGTGCCAGTTCCTTGGTACAGGTACAAGGCAGAGCTAGTGATGGGACCTTGATGGTCCTGTTACTGAGCATGTTCAGGATGGCAAGGGGGTGGTGTGCACCATAACTGAAGTAAGGGAGATATAAGACCAAATGCAGAATGTAAATTTTTATTGGCTGAAATCCCCTTTAGATGTCATGAAATACACATGGGAAGGAAAAACCCTCTTGAATAGGTCAGTTATTCTCAAGATTGAGTGATCAAGACCCTGACTAATTTTGATTCACAAGAGATGTTTTCTGGCACACTGTCCTTGCTACAGCTGTCTTTGCAGAAAGCTGCCCTTTCACTTCGGCTTTACAGGGGCTGCTGTACCTTATTAGTTCCACCTTTGTCTTCATTCATGCTGTGAATGCAGAAGGTGCGGACCAAAACGTTGCTTCTTAGAGTTCCATCTCATTGGGCCATGGTTTTCTGAAGCTGGTCTGTGATACCAGTTCACCCTACTCACCCTCACTCACTGAGGCTCAGAGAATTGAGGCTGAAATGGTAGGTTTCTTGAGGTGTGTGTTGTCCCCAGAGTGTTGGAATATGCCCCGTAAAGCATCTGGGTTCTGACTGATCAGTTCTGCCGCTGGGCCTGCTCCCGTCATGCTCCTGGTGAACCTGATCTTCCCAATGCTGATTCTCATTTATGCGTGTCATCCTGACACACTCGCCCAGGACACAGTTGCCCTCTCCTGGACGCATACTGCTCACTCCCAAGGGTCTATCACAGAATCTCTAGCCAGTCCTTATTTTCTTCCTACTACATTATGCTATGCCCATGTCCTCCATCGATGGTAAGCAGTTCCCCTTGACGTGTGTCACCTGTTCAACCTTTAGCCCATTTAAATGTTGGGATTTTTCCCTTTGGAAATGCCATCTCACATGGAGACAGTACTTTGTTACCCAGATTGGAAAGGACATTTGGAGCCAGAGTCACAAGGTAGTTCCAGGGTATGCCATACCCTGGAAATGGCATACTGTTAACTCATTGAAGAAACGTGCCCTCACTCCCTTTGTCACAGCCATTTAGTCTCAGTCGGCCCACTTCTGCTTCCTTACCCTGCCCGCTTATGTGTCCCATTTGGGCTTCCCAGACCACCTGCTTCAATCCATTGCTTCTGCCATGCCCTGGACCTTGTCTTCAAAAGGCTTGGACTTCATTCTCACATTGAACTTGGCCTCTTTAAACAAGTACACTGCTTACGGAGAGCGGATATTCTCCACGTCTCTATGTCTGCCTACTTCGGAGGCCACTGATATTCCACCTCTCCCCATCCTCATCAGTCACTCGGCTCCCAGTCACAGTAGACTCATACTAGATGGTCACCCTTCATCACTGCTTTTGCTCTCAATTTTGGCCACCAAACTTACCATCGAGAGACACTTTTAACTGTTTCACGTGGCCCAGGATGGGGATTGGGGGGTCCCACTGTGACTTTTCAGGATGCTTTTCTGTATTCCATGAGCTCCCAGTTTTTACCTCTCACTCCTCACGTCACTCACCACCATGTCAGATAAAGGCTATTAGGTGAGAATTCCCATCTCTCAACGATGTATTTTCAACAGGGCTGCCCATTATGATCACGTAGGGAGACTTGGAAAACCAATCCCCTTGCCAGGCATGGTGGCACTCACCATAATATCAGCAGTCTAGGAAGCTGAGCCAGGAGGATCAAGTTATGGCACGACCTGGGCAATTTAGGGCCTGTCACACAAAAAAAATTTTTTTGAAAGGCTAGGGATACAGCACAGTGTAAGGTCCTTGGGTTTAATTTCCAGTACACCACATACGCGCGCGCACGCACACCACACACACACACACACACACACACACACACACACACACACACACGAACATGTAGTACAAGCCTGTAATCCTAATAGGGAGGACGATGCAGGATAAAAAGTCCAAGGCTAGCTAGGGTAACACAGTGAGACCCTGTTTCAAAAATAAAGGGTTGGGTGTGTAGCTCAGTCATAGAACATCACATAAGGCCTGGGTTCCACCCCAAGACCCCCCAAAACAATCCCTGCGTGCCACTCCCCAGAAATTTTGGGTGGCGTAGTTGGAGTATGGCCCAGGCATGAGGATTTTTAACCACTTAACTGTACCCCAAGCATCACCCCAGCAGTGTTTGTTTATGTATGGAAAATCCAGAGCATTGCTCAGGAGGGTGTTATTTCAACCAATCAATTCTTGTATTGAATAAATTTTGTGATTTTTATACTTCCTGTTATAAACACAAAATACGCAATTTTGGGTTATCCTGTATTTAAGTATATGGACTGGTAAGTGGTTAGGGCTCTTTGGATGATTGCTGCTCAGTTAAGGTTGAAAACCATGGTTTTGGTTAAGAAATTTTTGTACTTTTATTGAGGCACGGAGCCATCTAAACAAATCAGTATTTGGTAAGGCAGCTGCTTTCTCCACTTCTTTGAGTTACAATAGCATCTTGTCAGTGGATTAAAAAATAATAAGACAACTGTTTGCATACTCAAGTCTTACCAAGGCGTGAGGTGATAGGACACAGACTCCTGTCAGATGCACTAGTCTAACGTCCAGACATCATGCACAGCGCTGTGGTGGCAGCAGCACACTGTACCCACTTCCACCACGACCCTGCTCACTTGTGTGTGATATTTAGAGCATCTGGAGGAGTGTGACACTATCAGCAAGCGGACGGAGGAGGAATAGCATGAGTGCCTAGCTGGGAGGAGGTCAGCCAAAGCTGTGCAGGGCAAGCCTCAATGTATGATATGGTGCAAACCCAAGCATTGTGGAAACATCTGGTGGAACCCCACGATGGGGTCTTCATTGGCCCAGAACTGGCCCACAGCCATGCTGATGCAGCTGTCTGGTATAGGCTGATGGTTCAGTGCTTGATGCTGTGCTGGATTTTCAGGAATGGAAGGATCAACAACTTCTCTACAACGACAGATTCGTCCTGGAAGTGCTGTCATCCTCATGTAAGGCATGATGGATGAATCAATGTAAATTGTGCCTAGTTGGGTTCTGTCATTATAAAATAACCAGTAATAATGTTGAATGAAGCTGGACCTGATCTGCACCCAAATTATCTTGTCTCCTAATCTGGAGTGTCACCCAGTATCACTGAGACCCAAGTTGACTCTGGAGGGAACTAGGTGGTACTGCCCATCCCTAGATCCTCGCAGACGGGTAGCATGCTGTAAGGATAGTGTCTGCCCATTACAACTGCCTGCTTAGGTAGCAAATTTTATTTATTTATTTTTTGTCTTTTTCTTTTTTATCAGTACCAGCGATCGAACTCATGACTGCACACTTGCAAGGCAGGCGCTTATGTGGCTGAGCTAAATCCCCAGCCCCTAGGTAGCAAAATTTAAGCAAGCCAGGCCAGACAGGGTGGAACCCTAAAAGCCCCTTCTGGTAGTCAGGACCAGAAAAAGTCTGGCCACAGCACAAACTACAACACAGGCCAGCATACCAACCACGGTACTGTACAGTCTGGATAGCACCTGTCTGGCTCTCAGCATTCCCCATGGCTGCCGCTTCAGAGGACTGATGGGAGGCCTGAAACTCATTATATTTGAGGCTCTGTCTCATTCACTTTTCTTTATCAAGAGAGACACGGGGACCCCTTTCCAGGATGACATCTCTCTGGCCTTGGTTGTATTCTGTATCCTGCCCTAACCCCAACTCCCCTCATAGGAACTTGCCCCCAGTACATTGTCTAGCATCTGCAGTCTCTTCCTATTTAGGATCTAGTTAGGAACACACAGTTCTTGACTTAAAATTCCAGGCTGGGGATATAGCTTAGTGGCATGAGCAACCGATTGGCAAGCACAAGGTCCTGAATCTGAGTCTCAGTATAAAAAATAAAATAAAAAATTCTAATGAGAATGAACAAACTATAACCACAGACAAAAAAAACATCATATACATGATGCTGAAAGAACACAAGAAACCAGCATACACTGCATGATTCCATTATAAAGTTTAAGGAACCAAAACAAGTTTGTGCCATTATAACCTAGGATAAGACCAAGAGATGGAGGGAAGGGGAAGGAGGGAAAAAAGACTGAAAAAGACATGTTATGTGCATGTTCCGCTTCTCCATGTGATCATTATGTGCTGCAAACATCTACTAACAAAACAATAGGATAGTATTTACTTTTGGTGATCGGAGTTGAGGCTGCTACAAACTAGAAGACGACTTAGGATGCACGTAATGTTCTATTTTTAATCTAAAGGCTGTTATATGCAGTGTATTCAGCGCATGGAAGTACAGTGAGCTGCACCTTTATGGTCTGTGAGCTTTTCTCAAGGTATATACTTGAATAAATACATAAATAAATGCCAATTCAGGCTGGCCTGTATTATTACGTGCGGTACTAAACAACACTCATTTATATGAATGTGGTCCATCATTTCAGAGGTGAGCTCGGATCATCAACATTCATATTCAAGTGTAATTTTGCTGTACTGTTGTTTGGGAGGTGCATTTAGAGGCTTGCGCCCCACCTGGGGAAAAAGTACCACTTTCTGGAGACTCCGTGTAAACTGTGGCTCATAAATCACAACTCAAAATTTGCTCACAGACTTCCTGTAGGCCCAATCACCACCACCACCCTACAGACTTCAGGACGGACAACGCGTAAATCTGGAATGAAGCGAAACATCAGGAATACCCCAAACCGCAAGGAAGATATGCAACAGATCCACGCACACAATGAGGACCGTGAAGTTCTTAAGAAACTCAAATTGTATCGTAAGGTTAAGTTAGCAAGTGACGTAAGACCCAAACTACATAAAACATAGTACCTCAAAAGGAACGGCGCATCATGCCCATGTAAGGTGGGACGTGTAGTTTAGGATCCCGTGAAGCATTCCTCAAATCCTCCACAATGGGGAGGAAAAGTAACTCCCTAGGCAGCTAGACCGAGCTGAGACCGCAGGACGCGCGGGACTGGCGCGTCTCCCCGGGTCCTGGCTGGGAGGCGGGCCCGCGGCGATGGCGTCATCTTCCCGCGCCGACGCATTGGTTTCCCTGGCAACCGTCGAGCCCGCGGCGCTGCGGCGGGAGAGATGCTACCCCGGCGCCCGCGCGATCCCCTGCAGGCGGTGCGGCGCCGCAGTCAGGAGCTGAAGCTACAGGTATGTTGGGGCGCACGGCGAGGGGCTGGGCCTGAGAAAGGGCCGGCTGTGCTGCGGGCGAGAGGTGGGGCGCCTTCCTCTCCGTGACCCCAGGCCTCCCAAGAAACCACGTCCAACCTGCCCTTCTCCCGGGTTGGAAGTCTCCGCTCCCCCAGCCCCGACCCTCGCGCCAAGTCCGGATTCCAACCCAACCCCCAGCCACTGACGAAACGGCCCGAAAATCGTGACGCCCACTGATGTCCTCCTCCCTCCGAGCTCAGCCTCCGCCCCACCTCGACAGCTCCCCTCACCTCGCAGCCGAGCTCTGCAGCGGCTGCCGGCTGCCGCTTCCCGCCACCAGGCGATGCCTGTTACTCTCGGCAGAATTCAGGCCTGAGTAGGCTCAGGGTGTGAGAACACTGCGATCTGACAAACTGAACCAAGGACGGGAACGAGAGAGAAAACACAAGTAACTGTGAGCGCGAGAGAACGTTAATTTCCAAAGATAACCCAGTAATCGCAAAGGAAATGAGCTACCACAAACGTATAAAAATCACAGGACTCAGCCCTGGAGCCGAGGACTAAACAGATGCTTAACATTGGCGACCCGTGTGTAAGGGACAGCATTACTGGAAATCGGCTTGACAGAATGAAGAGCCATTCACGCTCTTCGGCTGGGTAGTTGATAGGATTATTTCCAGAAGATGAAAAATATTCCCAAAAGATGAGGAGTATAAATCAAAAGAGGCCTTTATTCTGGGAACACGGAGAGAGAGGACTGGCACGCTGGCTGCTGAAATCTGGTGATGTCTCACGCTGACACGTGGCATGGGGGGGAATATAAGTAGCCTAAGCTTAGGGCAGTGCCCTAAGGCCATTAGAGATGCACAGGTATTTCATTGGCACACGTTTGGTGCCAGGGGCAGATTCCAAAGGGTGGGGGGGTATAGGGTTACAGGTAAATCTCTAGGGGCGGGGTAGACAGGAGCTCCCTAATTCTGGCTGAGGCTTTTTCTGGCTGCAGTGTTCGGTCTGGGTCAACAACCCTTTCAGTAGTTACATTTCCAAAAATCTGCTGTGTGAGATGATTAAAAATTGGAACAAAGATCAGCGGTAAATGTTCATCACATTGCCGCTTGTAATAGAAAAAATACTGAGACTTAAATGATCAGTTATAGAGGAATGGATAAATTGATTGATTGATTTGTACTCAATCTAGAGCAGTTCAGAATATTAAAGCGAGGAGGCAAGTAGATATTAATAAGGGGGGTCACGGAAGGAGTCACTACAAGGAAGGCTGTGGCGGCTCTCTGCAAAGGGCAGGTTTTGCCTGATACAGCCTCTGATGGGGGTCGGGCTCTGGGGCTGATGTGAGCTGATTTATTTTTTGAAATTGTAGAGGATTGGGTAAATCTTTACATGCCTGAGATTTGGCAGACTTTTGGGAGGGAGAAGCCGTAAGGGCTTCTGGGAAGAAGGAAGTGTGCATTATCAGGGCACAGCTTTGAACCACTGCTGTGATGATTGTGCTGTCTCTCAGGTGGGCGGACCTAACATAAATAACTTAGGGGTAGGATAATATTGTCACTAAAATTTGTTGAGGCATATAGTATATAGGGAAAATATGATAAAATAGCAAGTTAGAGACATAGAAAGGATTATACAATATTCTGGTGACATGGACAGAGATAGAAGGTAGCATACTAAAATGGTACGGGTATGGTTAAACAACACTAGGTTATTTTCCTTGTGTATATTTTCAAAGCATTGAGTGCTTATTTTAAAAATAAGAAAAAAGTAATGGACTGTTCATTTATTTTCTGAAATTTACATTTCACTTTACTGTTTGTACTTTTTAAAAGTCTGATTCACCATATATTTTTCCACTAAAATAAAATTATTAAATTTTTTGACAGTTATAAGATGATCTCAGGTTCATTATTTTATGCTGTTTAAACTCTTATTTAAAAGTTTAAAAAAAATTTAAATGTTTTCACCCTTGCCTAGCATGTGTAAGACCATCTCCATATCATGGGAAAGGAAAAAAAATTTAAATATTTTCATCATAAAGAAGTAATAATTGCTTGAGGAGATAGGTATGTTTAACCTCATTTAAATGTTATACAAGGTATAAATGTATTGAAATATCATTGGTACCTCATAAAATATATAATTTTTGGGTTTTTTGTATCAGTTAAAAATAAATTGAACAAAGTACAAAAGATTTGGCAGATAAATTTTAGTGACTTTGAAAGATAAAATTTAGTGAATTATAGTGACTTTGGAATCATAGTGATGCAATAAAAACAAAATACTCTTGAGAAATAAAAGTAAAATTTGATGGGGCCCTGACTTCTGCTGAATTTTATTAGACTTAATAAGGTTGGGAGAAAATTTGAGTGATTCCCCTTGAATGCAGAATAATTGCTACAACTTTGATTATATGGAAACTTATTTCCTTATTCTGATATGTACAAAGCTGACTGTTGTATTTCCTTCTCTCTTCAATTGACTCTAAGATTGCAAACAAGGCTAGGGAGGTACTGGTGTGTAATCTCTAAAGCCCACAGACAGTCTCCTCACATGGTGTTCTACCTGTAAAGGATGTGAGCACAGCGGGGTGGTAGAGCCATCAGCTCCAGGAATGTCAGCTGGGTAGGAGCTCAAGGTAAAGAGGCTGTGACTCGCCAGGGCACCAAAGCTTACATATCAGAAACCAAAGCAACAGCCTCCTAAAACAGTTTATTTACTACTTTAATTGAATTATGCAAATTGATCCCTCTGCATATCCATATGTCTGCATTTTGCAGAGATGCTTTTCTCCCTACCTAGCCAGGCTGCTTAAGTTATCCACAGAATTATGGAATTCCCGCCATCCTCACTGTCACTCATCCTCAAGGCACCAGCTTCTTCACGAGATAATAAATTTGGGGAGACTTAGGATCAGGGCCTTTGTCTGCACATCCTCATGGGAGGTGATGAGTTCCCACTATCCTCACTGTCGCTCATCCTCGAGCCACCCCCCTTCTTCACAGGATAATAAATGCTGGGAGAGGCTGAGGATCAGGGCCTCTGTCTGCACCTCCTCATGAGGATTGGATTTAGGACCCCTTGGCTGCCCTTAACTTGGAATATATCATGGTGTCTTTACTGTCACAGTGGGTTGCATTGGAGTTGGTAAATTGGAATTAACTTGCCAGGATCCCAATAAAGCCTCAGGGATTATACATATAACTTTTTGGATTGTGAAGAAAACTGAAAAAGGGATATATGCTATCTTATTATAATATAGATATATATTCTATATTTGTTTGCTCTTTTTTTTTTTTTTTACTTTTTATCGGTACTAGGGATCGAACTCACGACCGCCTGCTTGCAAGGCAGGTGCTTATGCCGCTGAGCTAAATTCCCAGCCCCTTATATTCTATATTATAATTCTTGGATGACTGTATACAAAATTTGGGATTACAATAATATGGTTCTTACGTGATTTTAAATTTAGTGGAACATTAGAAGGACCAGGACAAGTTTCAGAAGGAAACTATAAAAATAATTACTAAAACAAAATAAAACCGACTATTGCAGGGATCAAATTGAATCATGAGCATTTTAATACTTCAAGTATCTGGAAAGAACATTTTGATAATATTAGCTAATTGTTTACTATCTCCACAACAGACGCCTGAAGCAAAAAAAAAAAAAAAAAAAGAAAGAAAGAAAGAAAAAAGACAAAAGAAAAGAAACAAAGAAAGAAATGTATTACCAACTCAGTGTCCATAGGCAAGGAATCCACTTCCTGTTTGGGGCATGCCTGTGATAACCTGCCCTATCAAAATCAATGTATGATTTTGTAACACTCAGGTGGATGCCACATAGGAAACACAGAGAAGAAGTTAATGAAATTTTCTCTCTTTTTTTATCTACTATCTTCTCATGCAATCTGTAGAAAAAAACCCAGAGATATGCTTTTTTTGTGGTGCTTTGACAAGAATATACGTAGTACATGTAGTGCTTGTAAAATACTAGATCAAGATAAACAAAGTGGTGGTACACTTGATTCAATGAATTCTACTCAGTAATAAAGAATAAACTAACAATAACATGGAAGTATCTTAGAAACAGCACAGTAGAGAAATTTAAACATAAATATATACTGTGTAAGTCCATTTTTTTCAAAGTTTAAGAGCAGCTAAAGTTAATTTATGGTGGAAAAAAATAAACAGGTTTGTCTCTGGAAAGATGGGATAGAGATTTGCTTGGAACGGGAACTTTCTGAGGTAATTGATAGAATTTTCTGCATGGTAGGGAACCATCTGATAGAATTTTCTGCGTGGCTAAAAAGATAAGTATGAAATAAAAGCTGCCTTTATTTAAAGAATGTGGAGAGAGACTCTATGACCTCCAGGGTCTGGCATTCTCTCCACCAGACCGTGGTATGGGGGCATACATGTAGCTTAGGTTTGGGGTGGTGCCTAAGGGGCATTATTGATGCACTGGTAGCCCATTGGGATTCATTTTTTTGCCACAGGTAAATTGCCTCGGGGCGGGAACGGTGACCTCAAGATAGAGCCCCTTGATTCCACCTCCAGTGTCCCATCTGGGGCAAAATCCTTTCAGTAATTTCCTGTATCTTGATAGGGATTTGGGTTCTATAAGTGTATATGTTTGTCAAACTGTGACAAAGGTACACTTTAGGTTTGTGTATCTGGTGTGTCCATTTATAGCAAATATTAAACTCTAGTTAATGACACCCCCAAGGTCATTCTTTTTTTTTAGGTACTGGGGATTGAAACAATCTCGCACTTGCCAAGCAGGCTCTTAACACCACTGAAGTAATTCCTGACCCTAAGTTTGTTATTTAGGGAGAGTTGTACTGATGACTAAAGTTTACTTTGAAATGCATATAAAACAAGACGGATTGATAGATGGATAGATCAAATAGGCATAATAAAATGTTTAAGGTAGAATCTAGTTATAAGTGAATAAGTATTTGCTGTAAAATTCTTTCAACTTTATTATTGTATGTTTCAAACTGCTTGTTATATATTGGAGGTAAAAAGAGATTTAGTTTATCTCCTAAAGTGATGTTTTAAACTGTCTCCATTTGCCTTAGGTTGATACTTTACTTTCTGAAAGCCAGTTGAAAGCAACTCTAGAGCCCAGTAAAAGGCAAGATGTTTACCAAAGGTAAAGTGTGCTAACTTCTATGAACTTCCTAGGAACTGTGCTTACATTTCAAGTAGTGTTTAAGACACTGAAATCATTTTAAGCTTTATTTCTTTTTCTTTCTTTCTTCTCTTTACTTCCATCCCTTTTCTTCCTTTTTATTTATACAATTTCCAAAAACACAAGTGGAACTAATATTGACCTAACAGTGAATGAAATTTTCCAAAATGTATTTTTAAATACACTTTGTAGATCATCAAAGCTAATGGCTAGAAAAGCATTTCCATGTGAAATTTTAAACATCAGTTCATGGAATAGCTAATTTCTTTGCTGCCTAGAGTTGGCAAATAATTTTATAAAATAGCTTTCCTGTTCTGACAACAGTAAACCAATGTGTTCTCTTTCTTTTTAAAAATTTAGATGTATTCAGTTAAAACAGGCAATTGATGAAAATAAAACCACTCTTCAAAAATTAAAGAAGGTAAGTATTATAGTTAATGACATTATAAAAAAATGTCTTATCAAATATTGTCCCTCACTGGGAAGGAAATGCAGTTGCTAAAGCCCTGGGTTTGCGTTAGGGAAGGAGTCTGACCACAGCTGTGCCCGAGAGGTCACTAAGTACCTGTGTGGGGCAGAAATGCCACAGCTCGGATACCGCAGACCATCCCAGCTCTGATGAGTCACCTGATTTTTAAAAACTATAAGGTACAGGGGCTGCTGATTAGAACTGTTTTTATATTTTAATCCCATCGCGAGGAGAGAGTACACTGTCTGGTCCTGAGGTAAGTGATGACAAAGCCCCGTGTCACGTGGCAGCGACCCTGACGTCACTGGCTCTGCAAAGGCAGGAGGCGAGTCCACCCTCGCCATCCCTTCAGGATCCTTCATGTTTGAGCCTCAGCTTCGGTTCGGTGTCCAGGGCTGCAGACCCACGGAGACTTAAGGCGGAGTCTGAAGTCCTCTTCCTACCTGCCTCTGAGTCCTGCTCCCCGGATCTGGATGCCATCTCTGCATTTCTCCAGGGACACCAGAGTTTCCAGCTTAGGAGTCAGGAGCCCTAGATTTGAGAACTTAACTATGCGTGGTCACAGAGGAGAAAACAGGCTCTGATAGAAGAAGAAATCAGGTCCTCCTGTCACTAAAGTGGCGGAATTTAGGAACGGCCCCTGTCGTGTTGGCTGTAGAGCCAGTCTGTGGTCACAGCTTGTCCCTCGCTGACAGAGCCACAGTTCCTCCTTAGCTCATTTCTGCAGGACAGACTCATTTCACAGGGCATTTGTTTTGCTTTGCAGCATTTGATGGAGTTTTTGGTTTTATTCTCTTAAAATAAATATGATTAGGAAAGCGAAATCAGTTTTCTCGGCCATGCTCTCTCTCAGGCCGATGAAGCAGCCCCTGTGGGGAACTATGATCAGAGGAAGGCGGAGGAGCAGAGCCTCCTGGAGAAGCTCACCCAGCAGCTACAGGAACTCGCCATGGCCATAAGTAAAGAAAATATGACCAGGTACGCCTCCTCTCCTTTTTTTAGATTTAAAAAAAAAATATGTTCAGTACTGAATCCAAGGCTTTTGCACTGAGTTGCATCCCCAGACTTTTAAAAAATTTTATTTTCTATTTTGAAACAGAATCTCACTAACTTGTCCAATCTTGGCTCAAACTTGTGATCCTCCTGCCTCAGCCTCCTAGAGTACCGTGCATAGCACCACCAGTTTTTATATTGGATTCAGGATAAAGACATATAACTGTAGAAACAAAAAACAATAACTAACTGTATAACCAGTCCACATTTATTTATTATGTATAATAGAATGTGTTTGGAGCCTATGAGAGTTATAAAGAGGCATAAACTATAGTCTCTAACTTCATGTTATTTATAATCTAGTTAATGAAACAGCAGATCTGAAAAGAACAATGCCTTTAATGTCACTATCAATGTGTATGAGGTAAAATAATCTGCATTGTTTACATAGTCCTTGGGTAGGTGTTCTTCAAAAATTCAAGCATAAACATCCATTATTTTTCTACTAGAGGGATTATTAATAACAAATCTTGTAATTTGCAATAAGACTTTTATGTGTAAACAAACCCAATTTCTAGGGAGCCAAAAAACAATCAATTCAGACTACTCAGACTCTGATTGTGGTTCCAGCTTTTTACACTGCACCCTGGAAAAAACACTAACATATGTAGACGCAAGAATTCCAGAATCCCAGGTGAGAGTGACAGGACGCTGATACTGGGCTTCTTCCCTCCACAAACAGCCCTGAACTCTGGGCAGAGTATCAGAGCAGCTGTCTGCAGGCATCGTGGTCAACCGAGCAGGGCTGATAACCTGATCTGGGGAGAGACAGGGCGGGGCCTGTGTTCACCCAGGCTCTCTCCCTGGGATGTCGATGGGCTCTGCTGCAGGAAGGTGGGCCGCACGAGGAAACGAGCAGCCTCACTGCACTGAGGAGCTGAGGCCCCTGAGACATCGGAGCAAGGTGCAGCAGGGAGAAGGGAGCTGATTCGCTTCCCCTAGTGAATTACTGCAAATACTTAACAAAGAATTAATACCACTGTTATAAAATCTCCCTGGAGACTAGAAGAAGAATGCAAAGCATTGTACGAGCTGCCAGATAACACTGATAGCAAATCCTGACAGAAAGCACTGTAAGAAAATCATGTGCAAAGGCATGCTCATTGTGGTACTAGCAGACCGAATCTAGAGGCAGATCACAAGGAGGACACATCCTGACCAGGTAGAATTTATTCCAGAACCAGTGGTTGGTTTAACACTAAGGAACTGATGATTAAAATCCACCACATCAACATTCATGGAAGTGAAAAACCATGCCAAATTCCTGTTACCCTTGGCAGCATTCTGGAGTAATTGTCCCATGTGAAATACATGCAGGGTATCTCTTAAAGGGGTGCCTTGAAAATCAGTGTGCTATAGCTTATGGAGTTTTGTTCTTGAGGTACAAAGATTATTTTTATTCAGTTTCTGTTTGTGTGTAGGGCAGTATCCTATGAGAGTCCTATACCTATTTTAAGCCAAGATATTCTAGAATAGTGATGATGAACCTTTTAGAGCTCTCAGTGATGGTAAACAGCCTGCGAGGCTTGCATGCCATAGGTTTGCTACCGCTGCTCTAGAAAATCATAGGCTGTCTTGCTAGTTAGATGTTCTTTTGCATTAGTTTAAGTATCATTAGCTCCATTTGTTTTAAGTTAAACAGCACAGGGACGCGTTCTGCCCACCTCTTCTGGGCTCTTTGCCTGAGCCTTGCCCTGCCATTTGTGAGCTACTTAATGTTCCCTGGTCTTGAACTTCCTTTTTCCTCTCCCTCTGCCTTCTTTTTACTCTTTATTGCCTAGCTAAATTCCAGCTCATCCTGAAGCCCTAATTCTAAGCCTTTTCTGATCCCAAGCGCAGCCTGGTTGGGTGTCTGTCCTGTTCGATTCCTTAGCATCCTGTGGTGCCTACCGTAGTACCTGTGGAGCTGAATTGAAACTATCTGTGTCCTACACCTTCTCGACATAAGCTCCTTTAGCACAGTCCACCTTGGCATCCCTCGTGTCTCACATGGAACCTGGCATGCAATGTCATTATCACCATAACCCACTTGGACCGAAAGCTCGCTAAGGGCAAGTTCTCGACACTTAGCAGGTTGTGACTCTTCTAATTCTTGTGACCAGGACAGGAATACAATCTATTATTATCTTGGCCTTATCAGTGAAAAAGGGAGAGCTTATCAGAAACCTAGTAAGGTCATCCAGGGAAGAGGAGATAGAACCGGAATGTAAACCAGCCATGCGCTAAGTTCTGTAAAGTCGCTCCAGGAACAGTGGCCCAGTGGATGATTCCAGGATTTGCGTAGCGTTCGTGGGTGCAAGCCCATGTTCTGCCCTCTTGCATGCCTTGTTCAGATAAATCTGAAGCCCCCAGCGCTTCAGAGCGCACCTGCTCAGCCGGATGGTGGAAATCGTTGGTTGTAATTTCCCCTTGTTTCTTTTATTTACCAGCTCTAAATATGGAGCAGTTTTTCTACACATGGAAATTCTACTCATATTTGCTCTGCTCTTGTATGTTATTTCAAATGGCCGAGTCATAGAAATGCTTTCTGTAGGACTGGTGCCCATACCGAAAGGGAGGAAGATGCTGATTCTACTGAAGATGAACAGGACGAGGACGAGAACGAGGAGGAGGATGGTGATGATGATGGTGATGATGGTGGTGATGGTGATGATGATGATAAAGGAGAAGAAGACAGTGAAGAAAGTGATGGGGAGGAAGAAGAGTCAGAAGAGGAGGAAGAGCAGCAGGGAGAGGAATCTCTCAAACAAGCAGCAAATGAAGAATACATTGCCCTTGGTGACTTTACTGCCCAGCAAGCTAGGGATCTTACATTTAAAGTGAGTAGAAGAAACCTGAAACTATCTAAAGGTAGCTTTGCACACTTAGTACACTAAGAAAACTCTGCCTGGGTGCCTGTATTGGAGGAGGGGGATTGATACAGGGTCTCACTTCATGGTTTAAGCTGGCCTTGAACTTACTGAATATCCCAGGCTGCCTTAGACTCATGACAGTCTTCCTGCCTCAGCTTCTCAAGTGCTGCTGTTACAGGAATGCACCCCAGAGCCAGTTTTGTACACCTGTGTTACATAGTCCTTATATATTTTTTTAACACTGTTCAAATAAATAATCATTTGTAAGTGGTAGTAATATGATATTCTGTCATTAAAGTTACCTCTTCTAAGGCATTTCAAAAAGAGCTTTCATGTCAGTAATTCTCATTGGGGACAGAATTTCTGATTGTTTTTGATCATCACAGGTAGAGACGGTGTGCTTAGCTAGAGGCAGCAGGGGACACTGGTCAGGTGGCACGTCTCCTTGTTGGTTCAGATAGGAAAGGGGCTTGCTTGGCCTGTGCACAAATAAATAGCAACTGGGATGGAAAATCCCATCGTGTTTATAAAAGAGATTGGAGCTGGACTTGGTGGTGTACATCTGTAATCCTAGCACTCAGAGGCTGAGGCAGGAGGATCACTGCAAGTTCAAGACTAGCCTACGGTACTAAGTGAGTTCAAGGACTGACTCATTGCAACTGCATTGCAATACCCTGTCTCAAAAAGACAAAAAAAAATTTAAAAAATAAATAAAAGAGATTGGGATCCAGGTGTGGTGGTGCCCTCCTGTAAACTCAGCACTCTAGAAGGTGAGGCCGGAGGAATGCAAGTTCAGGCCCAGCTGGGATACATGGCAAGATCCTGTCTCCAGAAAAACAAAGCTCAAAAGGGTGATGGGGGATTGAAACTGTTTTCTGTTAGCAAAATAAGTCAAGGAAATATCAATGAATGTACAGACTGTGGGCCTTGTTTTTATTTACCTGCAAGTTTCATAACTGATTACTAATAAAATATGCAAGGATATTGTACAACTAATACATTTTAATTCATAGAGTTTATTTTCAGATTCTCCGAGAAAATACTATCAACATTAGGCAATACTGTATATTCGTAGGGCTGAGGATTTAGCTCAGCAGCATAAGCGTCTGCCTCGCAAGTGCAAGGTCATGAGTTCAATCCTTGGTACCAAAAAAAAATAATGTATATTCTGTAAAAGTCTTTGCTTTTAAATGTCCTCTATAATAGAAATTCTTTGTTTTTCCAAGTTGGATTATATTTTTATTCATGGACAAGTATTATTCAAAACATGAATTAGGCAGACAAACATATTGAGAAAATACTATTTTTGCTTCAAAATAAGGTTTAAGTTTTAACACAGTTGATTTTCTTCAAGGATATGTATACTGCTTCTAAAAGATACTCTACAAAGAGATTCAGAAACTCAAAGATATTTTATACAGTGATCCAATTGCTGGAATAAGTAGGGGGCCCTGACAATGATTATGAAAACTGCTTCCCTTTGCACATAGGATTCAAATGAATGTTAAGCAACCAAGTGGAATGATTTATTTATAGTTATATTATCATCATGTAGGTTTAGGGTAGGGTGGTGATAAAAATTGGGATAAGCAATGGATGGGAAAAATACTGTACCTTTCTTCTGCCATGCATTTTAAAGCATTAGTAATGAAGTAAGTCTCATGTCTTTTGAGTTTTCCTTTAAAATTTGTATTGTATTTTGCTTTAAGAAAGGGGAAATTCTCCTTATAATTGAAAAAAAGCCTGACGGTTGGTGGATAGCAAAGAATGCTGAAGGAAATGAAGGGCTTATTCCCAGAACCTACCTAGAGGTGAGTCCTTGTTTATGCTTTTCTCCCCTTCAACTATTTTCATTTTTAATAAAACATTGTTATATTTTTTGATCAATTGATTGGTGAATGGGTTGAGATACAGAAATTGCTTTAATTTTAGAGATAGAGTGAGGAAAACCCGCGTGTGTAATGGGTCTGGGTTCCTGTGAAATGCTTTTATGCCTGTGAGCCCTGGCACAAATTTCACAGTGAAGCTTTGCAGGTTAATACTGTTCATAGCAAGGCATTTCATGTTAACTTTGCATTAACTGCCAGGTCCTCTAAAAGGCCTTCTAGCCTGTCTAACGCTGTTGATCATGACTTACCAATTTGAGCAACACTAGCTTCCCTATACAAATCTTTTCTAAGATTGTTGAGATGTGGTGGATTTCCACATGCTGTACATACTAGCAAGATCGGTCACATGAACACCACCTTTGTATTTCTCCACGGTTTCCTTCTTCCTTTTGATTTTGTTTCTTTCTTTACCTTTCATTCCTTCCTGAGCTGCTTTTGTAGCTTTTGGGGGGCCATTTTGATAGCAGCAATCGGAGCAATTATATAAAGCACTCAGCAAAATCATGCCTGCAGACACCCACATCTGGGCACAAACTGATGCCTACCTGTGCCCTCCTACACTATGCTGGCGTCGTGCGTCTTTGTTTACAGCTGCATAAGCAGCCGGCATTTGGGCCACAACTCAAGACTTTGGTCATAAGTTCAACCTAAAATCCAGTCGTAACCCAAGATGTTCATATGCGAGGTCATAATCAAGGGGCCACTGTGTATCATCATCTCCTTCCTTGTGTGAACATACAGTGCACACATGTTTGTAGCCTATTTTGTTTCCTGATAGAGTATGATCATTTTCTCTGCCAAGTAGGGTAGACATCTGTCTGAGTTGGTGTTGCCAAGAGAATTCAAATGCATACCGCATTTGGAATTTTAAATCTTCCAGTAATCACATTGAGGGGTCTTTTTTCTTGACACCACCTCTGATACCATATGTGAGACTTCTCTGACACCAAAGATATATTTCATTTCCTCATTGCTGGAGACCTGACACACCATTCTGCAAGACTGCACCAGGTTCGATGACAAGCATAGAAATTCCAGAAGCCATCAGTTTTTAGGACTGGTGGTCTGTAAATTCAGGGATCCCCTTCACCCTTCTTCAGGGGTATGAAATTCACTATGCTGATTCATGGAACTCAGGGAAACACTTTACAGTTTGTCTTCTGTCTCCAAGGATTTCTGATCTGTGCATTCAACCAACATCACGTCAAAAGTATTTGAAGAAACAAATTGCATCTATATTGAACATATACAAACTTTTTCTTGTCATTATTCCCTAAACCATACAGTACAACAATCATTTGCATAGCGTTTCCATTGTGTTAGGTATTATGAGTAATTAGAAATGATTCAAAGTACACAGAAAAATGGGTCCAGGTTATGGGCAAATACTGTACCATTTTATATAGGAGACTTGTGCATCCTTGGGTTTTGGTCTTCCTGAAAGGTCTTGGAACTGATCTCTTGAGGAAAGATTGTATTTGCATTTACCAGGTTATTTTACAGGACCTAACTCAGATATAGTTAAATAGGAAAGATACACAGGGCATGGTATTGGGGTGGGCTGGCCTGCACGCCATCTCTGGGTATGTCACCCTCCTGGTATCTTGATGTGTTCTCTAGCCCAGAGGATCGCAGGGTGTTTCCACTTGGTTTAGTTGATTTCGGTTAATTGTACTAGTTGAATCACTGACCATGGGTGATTACCAGGCACCAGTTCCTCTCTCTTCCCCAGAGGCTGGCGCATGGGGCTGAGCATTTCCATGTCTAATCCCATGGTTGGTTCCTCTGGCAACCAGCCAATCCCTGTAGCTGTCTGCAGGCCATCTAAAGTTGCCTCATTAGCATAACCACTGGGACCCCTATGGATAAGAAAACACAAGGTATCATTCAGGAAATTCCAAGGCTTCGTGTCTGCCAGGAACAGAGAGAGATCAGATGTCTATTTCTTATTACCTACATTTTTAAAAATGAAACAATGGAGTTGTCTTAAATAATGTATTTTATTCTATCCAGTGTATCGAATGTACAATTTCAACATGCAATCAGTATTTGAAAGTATGGAGCTATTTTACTTCTTACACGGAGTTCATAGGCCAGTGTGGGGTTTGCTTTTACAGTGCATCTCAAGCTGAACTAAAATGTAAAGCTCGGTAGCCACATGCAGTCAAGGGCTGCTGAATTGCACAGGTGGCGTCTGGATCATGTTTTGAGAGGCAGCAAGGATTCTGGTCTCATTTAGGTAGGCGTTTAGATTGTGTTCAACCTGTAATCACTATTGTATTACAAAGAAGCTACAATCAGCTGCCCCTGAGTGCAGAGGATTCTCCCCAGGAAGTGGCCACCCTTGAGGAGAAGCCCATTTCTTTCAAGAGAGGAAGGAATGTGAAGATAGACAATCCAGCACTGGTTAAAGCCCTGAATATTTTACTCTGTAGCTACACGTGAAGCAGCTCTTCCTGTTAAGCAGATCCGCTGCTGGATCTTGTAATGCGTCTATGCAGTGAAAGACAGAGAGGGAAGAAATCAAACGGCATAGTGTTAGTTTTCCGGAAGCCACACAAAAACTTCAAGTTATACTTCACTGAGCAGCATCTGGTTCCATGGCAACACCTAGCAGCCTGCAGAAGTCCGGGTTCTGCCAGCGAGGAAGGGGTGGGGACGACCAGGTCTCAGCCCACCACCCGCCCATTTTGATCAGTCTGCTCGTGTGTCTGTGCCAAGTTGCTTAATTATACCTCTTCCATAAATTCCGGATGTTTGTCACAGCCTCACAGGACTTACATCTTTATTGTCTTGATTTATTTTGCCAATTTCTTCTCCCACCTCCAGCCTCTGAGTGTTTCCCCATATAAATGCCAGTGTTAACTGTAATTAATCTTTTTTTAATTTTTGGCCTGCGTGATTGGCAAAAGCAGTCTCATTGTTTTTAAGTGCATTCATTATACTCTTAAGGAGGTTGAGCGACCTTTCGTGTTTTGTGACCATTTTTATTCCTTCTCTGTGAATTGCCTTTTCTGGTCTTTTGGACATTTTTTCAGGGGATTTTTAGAAATCTTTTTCTCATTGATTTATAAGAGC